CTTATAATTATGAAACAGGATAGACTCAAAAGTTTTTGTATTTATTCATCAATGCTAGTTGATCGAATTCAAACCGATTTGGAACATGGTAGATTACTTCTATGTCTCCATGAATATAACATTAGATTGAAAATGAAACTTGGTTTCTTTGAAGAAATCTTTATTTCTCTCAAAGCTCAGTAGGCGGTCTTATAATTATGAGGCACTCTATACGTAAGACTTCTCTGTTATGTACATAAGTCGACAGCTTTAAAAGAATAGACAACAACCAAGAAAAAAAGAAACTGTTTTGAATAAGTACAAGAAAATCTGACTATCGACAGTTAGGAAAAAATATGATTATCGATTCTATGATTGACTTCGTATTTTATTTCATTCACGAATAGATGAAACTCAGACGATTTTTGTGTAAACTAATTTAAAAATGTAATATCATGTTCAATTTAATTACTAGCTCTCAAAACTAAATCGTCCTTGAGGAGAATTGACTTTATTTTTGAAAGTCTTTGTATTGTAAAGAAGTGAATATGCAACATGGCTTTGGAGTGCTACTGTGGGTGTGGGCGCAAACATGAGTATCATATTCCATTCACCCACATCCACACTTACAGCCTAACAGTATTAAACGAGGCATCATTTGAAAAAAATACAGTTCTATGATGTTTTTCAATGGAGATACATTATTTTCGATGAGAAACATGCATTCAAACTAGTAAATCATCACTGTGAATGGTCTTTTTCCATTTTCCTTTCATCGATCATAGAGCAAATAGAATTGTTCGTCCTTTGGGATACTTTTCAGATTCGGATAAATTAACTTAAAAGGAACTTCATTGTAATGTCCAAAGAAATACAGTCGAATAATAATCAGTTGTGGATCCTTATCAACGAGATCAAATACGAACGGTTGACGCTGGCATTGCTTAATTACCTTCTGATCAACAATTACTCGAATTCGTTCGAACAATTTATAGGGAATATCTACATTATCTGGATCACGGCCTTCAATTAGAATCCGGTATTGGTTCTGTTTATTCGAAGAAGGTTGACTAGTGACATGAATTCGTCGACGAACGATCCAACTTGGAATCGGAATCTTCATTAGCTCCATGATACCTTTCATAATAGCATCATTGAATGCATCAATATTAAGTGTAGCAACTTTGTGCAAAGGTGTTCGTTGTAAATTGCCAATCACTAGTTTTTGTTTGCGTTCTACTACACGTTCTGGAATATTAGCGGCTAGTGTAACAGTCAAACTACTGCCTAAAATTGATTATAATTGTTAGGGAAAAGACATTCAATAACAACTGACCTAGAGCAAGACATAGATCGGCTTGTTCTGCATGATCAAAAGCCTTGCCCAATGCGTCTTGTGGTAAATCTTCGCCGAAGTCGATAATCGAATCTTTTAATCGACCACGACAATTTCGCTTATCACATTGACGTCCTGTAGAATGACTTCGAATACCAACCGTATCAAAATCACGTAAATGTTTCGTTCCACATTTGAAGCACAGTTCTAAATCCATATTGCCATGAAATTCAGCAAGATTAGTCGAATTTAAACCACTTCGCAAATGAAGACTATCACAATTTTGTGAGATGACACATTTCAGTCTGCCTTGCCGTTGTAAAGCACCAAGTGCCCTAAAAATGTTTTTTTTTCCGCATGAAAAAATATCCGACGTTTAACTTATATATAAGCAAGCGATGGGATTGCTTTTTGCATGTCATCAATAATTCGTTTTTTTTATGACTAGAATTAAGCCCCCCCCCCCCCCCCTTAAAAATCGATCTCAGTCCACGAATGTTCAACTTTCATGAAATTTTCAGAATATCTTTGAGCTGTTATGGATAAGCTGTGGTAAAAGTTTCAGTACGATATCATAATGTTTGGGGAGATATTGACCCAACAACAGTCAAAAATAGCTCATTTGGCAAACCAAATTTCTCTGTCCAGGTTCATTCAACATAATTACTATTTTTTGTTTGAAAGAACATGTCAAGATGCAGTGAAGTACACAGTTCTTTTTTATTCTTACTTCTTAAAGGGTAAAAAGGGATCGAAAGATCAATGACTCGAGAAACCGTTAAAAAAAGGGTGCCGAATTATATTAGTGTCTGGATTTATAATAAAGAAAAGCCTAAAGGAAAAAGGACTCTGTACTGCACTGCATCTTAACACGCTCTTTCAAGCAAAAAAAATTAATTATGTTGAATGAACCTGAACGGAGAAATTTGGATTGCGCGCTTCAAAAGGTATAAACTGAGAAAAAATGAAAAACATTTTTTGAAAATAATTTTAGAATACTTCAGCATTTTTAGGCACTATTTCGTAGATTTAAAGAAAATAATCGCCAACAGTTCTATATCTTGTAGAGTTCTGTATAAATAAACTTCTTTTTTGACTTTTGAATCTTCATGAAATAAGTATGTTTTTTCTTTCGACGCAAGCATAACAGCCTTGCTCGAAGGTACTCTACTAAAATTAACTACAAATTGCTACAACTCTCTTTTGATTAACCCTTTGAGAGCCGAATTTTTTTTAATCAAAAAAAAATATTTTTCAACCTTTTTATTTTATTTTAACTCAAAACGGCTACATAAAAATGTTATGATAATCAAAAAAAACAATTTTTTTCATCTTTTAAACAAAATGGCAATTTGCAAGTAAAGCACTCGATGTTGGATCAAAAATTTGCTTCCTTGGTGCTACAATAAGTACATCTTCTTCTTTTTCCTTTCGCAGGCAAATACATTTCATTGTCAAAATTAAGGATAGTTTTTGGTGATGCTAGTTTAGGCTTCTTTTCAGAAGGAGATCTTCCATGACCTATTTGTTCACCACCGGAGCAGAAAGACTTCGCCACTGAATCCATGTAGTTCAAGTATGTTAACTTATCTTGAGCTAACTGATTATAACAAATGAACGAGTTGAAAATAGATGCATTTAGAAAATAAAAAAACATTCGCAGCCATTTCCTTTTAGACTTGCGATCGACATTACAGCAGGATATTCTTTGACTAAGTCAGTCAACTTCATGTGAAAACTAATTGTAATCTTTTACTGCTTTTGGACAGGCAATTGTAATACGTTGACCATTTTTCAAATGATGGAAAATCGGAACAACTTCGTTGTCTTTATGATAATTTGAAACCAAAAAAACGTGTTTGGTCTCCCTCCATATGAAGACAATGCTGTTCGATGTAATCATTGACTTGCAATCGCCTCGTTCCATTTTATTTTTCTTGACAAAATTCGACTAAATGCCTGCCCGATCTGGTCTAATAGTCCCACAGGCTTTTATGTTCTGTAGCTTTAGCTTTTTTAATAATCTGAGAGAAGTGAAAAAGTTATCGAAATATAGATGTTTCCCTTGAAAATTATGACCAGATATAAGATCGAAAACAACACATTCGCCCAAAGATGTTTCTTTTCTACTGGTTTCCTCTTTTCCTAAATAGATTTGATAGTTGAATAAATAACCAGTGATTGGATCATATAAACACCAAACTTTATAATCTCTCTTTATTGGTTTCAGAGGCAAATATTGCTTGAGGCTTGATCTTCCCTTGAATTTTATCATACTTTCGTCGATTGTACCATAGCGGCCAAAGTTATAATTTTTTTTGAAATTTCTCCGTAAAATTTCAGTAAAATTCTTAACTTTGGAAATGTTACTGTAGTCTTTCGATTCTCGTTTTGATTTCAATAAGCTATCAGTCAAATGTAAATTATAAAAAATTTGAAGAAAACTATTTCTTGACATAATCGAAGAAATAAATGTATTATGGAATACCATATCTTTACTCCAATAAAGTTTCGTATTTGACAAGTTATTGATACCCATTAGAATGATCAACCTGAGAAACGATTCAATATCTTTTTTGCTCACAGCCTTCCAGTTGCTGGTTTTCTTCTGATTGTTACTTCGTTTCTTTCCTTTTCCATAAATGTTTGTTTGATCAGTAATCAGCTTTAAAATTTCTTCATTAAAAAAGATCCTAAAGACTGAAACTGGAGTTCGCTCTTTGAGAGAGATTAAGGTAAAGCCGCCATCCGTGATATAACTTTTATTCATTGGATTCAGCTGCTCTGCATATACATCTAAATCTTCATCAGAAAGTTCAAGCCTATCTAAGTTATCGACTAGTTCATCGTAATGGAAATCGAAGTCACTCTCGCTGGTATCGTCACTGGCATATGAATCACAGAACTCGTTGTCGACTTCATCATTTCCATAGAAAGTCATTTGTTTAGTTTTAATTGTACAAACGGTATAAAGAAATAAAGAGTACAAGTTCGAAAGAGAAATTATATGCTTTGTAAATTCAAGAACACTGTAAATTCGTCAATGAGAACAAGAATATATATATATCCAATAGAAAATGAGAATATTCTCGAAAAACAAAAGATCAAAGGAGAAGAAGAAGAAGAGAGAAACTATGACGTCACTGTACCTTACCAGCAAGAACAACGAATATTTGAAAAGAATTTATATGAGAGATAAGTATGAGATGACAAATGCAGTTATTTATAATCTTAATGACCTTATATATTTAATAGTTTAATGTAAAATAAACACTTTTTTCTTTACTGAAAAATAGTGGTTCAAGAATGAGCCACCGATCCTCAATGGGTTAAAATGCTCAACATGGATTTCATTTCAGAAAATCAAGTTTAACGATGCTGATCGATAACAGTCGTAATCAATCAATTCCGAACAAATTAGAAATATACGATTAAAAAGGATCTGATGATAAATAGTCGAAGAAACTTAGATTCGAGAATTTCATCCATAAAAATTTCTATCATTCTTGAAGTCGATGTGATAGCGACAGTGCGCTGGCGAATAATGTTAAATTCATGATCAAATAGAGCATCTCAAAGAACAACTAAAATGGGGTCGATCGTTCTTGTTAAAGCAAATACAAATGATGTATTTCGCTTGTTCGGTCTTACGAGGAAATATTTCCAACTGCTAATCGCCGATCGAAGTGATATTTTGTCCATAAGCAGGACTCCATGAGACTAGGAAACCCTAAAAGGATTCGTTCCCATAGGTCTTCCTTCTGGAGTTATGACCATTTTACGAACTTTCCGGCTTATGGCAAGCTATTCACAAAAAATTGAAAAAGAAGGAATTACTACCTGAAGTTTTGCCCATAAGTAAGTCTTATGATCTTTAGGACATCCTAAAAGCTTCAGTCAAAACGAATGGTTCCTTCTCGAGATATAGAATACTAAAGAAAAGTCGTTTTTATGACCTTTTTTGTGACATATGATCGTTTTTTTGAATATTCAATATCTCAAGAAGGAGCCATCCGTTTTGACTGAAGCTTTCAGGATATCCTAAAGATCATAAGACTTACTTATGGGCAAAACTTCAGGTAGCAATTCCTTCTTTTTCAATTTTTTGTGAATAGCTTGCCATAAACCGGAAAGTTCGTAAAATGGTCATAAATCCAGAAGGAAGACCTATGGAGACAAATCCTTTTAGGCTTTTCCTAGTCTCACTGAGTCCTACCTGTGGGCAAAATATCACTTCGATCGGCGATTAACAGTTGGGAATGTTCCCTCGTTAGACAAATTCTACCATAAAGAGAAAATGATTTTTGAGCGACCTCAATCCCAAGAAGAAATATGACATCATGCACTCAGTTAGAAAATCTTCCACGTTGATCTGAATTAGCCATTGCTAGTGTTGATCAACTGAAAACAGTGCTTTATATATAACAATAAACGCATGCCCGTCTTTTTTTTGAAAATTTAAATCAGAACTTTTATTCATGATTTCAGACAACTCGACGTTGGAAGTCATCGATAGCGATAGCGCCAGTCAGTCTTGTCAACATAGTCAAGTTGTAAATAGCTTTTTTCATAGCTTCATCTTGACTAAATGCGGTGAATCGCTACAGGATTCCTTGGTCTTTCATAGAATACTCGAAATTGGCTTCCCACTTAACTTGCAGAGTTGAGGACCGAATCATTAGGTTACCGATACACTAGTTACTGCACACTAATCAATATGTCTATACTTATGAAAGAATCTTTCAAACGGCATCAGCCAGCGTAGTCTGTCCAGTCCGCCATCTTGCTAGAGATGAAACCACCGACACAGTGTTCTGCAGGAAATTAAAATCGGGCTTGGCTTTTAGCAATGCCAATGAGAAGAAAAGTCAGAAGAACACAAGAATAACGGATTTCTTCATCTATGATAAAAAAATCTAAAAAGATCGAACACACTCCATGACGAATGATACTTATTGTCATTTAGTGCACGCTATTTAGATAATTCAGTGAATTAACCTCCTGAATCACAAAAAATGTAACTATGCAAGACTTCGATTTAACAATTACAAGACAAGATGAACTATGGAATTTATATCAATCATAAAAAGAGAATGTAATCGTAATCACATGTATGAGATTATTCGCACCCACAGCCAAATTTGTCATTCTGATAATGGGTTGACACGCCAAGTACGTATTTCTGTATAGTACTACATATTGCGAAATGTTGACATGGTAATTGAATTGAAAAACAATGATTATGTGCTTCTACGTGAGAAAAATGAACTACTTATCAGTTTGCCTAGAAAAAGAAACTATTTTTCTATAAATTTTGACTTCGAATGATGGAATTAGAAGCCGTGTGCGTTTAGAATGGCGTTATTATTATAGAAGAAAATGAAATACAAAATTAAAAAAATCGAAAACAACTTGTATCATTGCATTCATAGTTAATTAAATATGCATCGAACTTCGACGAACGATATACCATTATATACAGAAGCGAGCATTGGTTTTACTTAGGTTGAATAACTTTTGTACCGAATTTAGCCACTAAATTGAAAGAGACACGTAGATGCAATGACTATATCAAAGACAAAAACGTCATTACTCACCCTTGACATTGATCGGTAGCTTCGCTTGCGACTCAACAATGTAATCTTTCAGTTCCGGTAGCTCACGAACATTCTTCAGAAAATCTTCGACATAAGCATATTTGCCGATCACTCCATATCCTTGATCCATGGCAAAGATGCAACCGAAATATTCAAATAATTGAAAATCCGCCACTGTTACTCCATCACCCACGGCGAACTTTCCTGTGCGTTTACTGAGATAAGAATCTAACTCTTGGAGATGTTGTGTGAAATCTGTCTCAAGAAATTTCTTCTGTTCTGTTTCAGAACCTCCATTAGGACCGTAGCACAATTTGGCAAACAGCATGCGCAAATCATGAGCTTGCTCACATAACATAAACACATGGGCTTCTTCTTGAGGTGTTTTGCCCATCAGATGATATTTTCGAGCAAGATAGTACAGAATGGCCTTTGACTGAGTGAGCTTCAGATTGCCATCGATCAAGTAAGGCAAATTTGGAAAGTCTATCAGTTCATAGATCAAAGTTAGTTCTTCGAGAAATCAAAGCTCTCTTACCCAAACCGAGTTCGAATTTGTCGCGAAGCCATTCATCGCGATTAAATTCTGGCCCATCGCCGAGCTCGTACATCTTATCCATGAAGGCTACCTTGGCATAATGCAGAGCCAACCGGATTGGTTCAGCCAGGCCACGAATAGCCCAATAGCCAAGTACCAATTTATCACCATTTGTCGTTGACTGAGTCATCATATTCTTCAAAACATTAATGTAAAAAGCACACCAATTTGAAGTTACACGCAACAACCTTGAAGCCTTTTATCGAGAGCCAGGCAGACTATTAATAACACAGATGTGTACGTATCTTACCGTCATTGAAAAGAAACACGTGCTTATCACTAGTTATTTCTTCTTTGATAACCGTGTCACATGTTTTTGTCAGCGACCGAAAGCAGAAGAAAAAAAAATTTGGTGCAGCATGTGCTGATAACATATACTCTAGCCCGGCTGAAGTAACGCTGCATCAGATTGGTAGTTCGTTGTTGATAGAAAAATATCAGTGCTTGCGTCGTTTGACGCAGTTACAATCGTATACGAATATATTTCTAGTTTCGTTGACTCAATAAATCCTCGGTGTGATAAACGTGAAAAGATATAAAAGAAAGATTTACGCCATTGCTTTCACAAAGAGCAAGGGTCGATAAGGTCATTTTTCGACTCACGAGATTTTTTAGGGATAATCGTATAGTGAGTACGAGCTCAACACGAGCAACTATCCTAGCATAATTATTTATTATAATTTGATATCAAAGTCTTCGACTCCTTTATCCTTTCCCCCGCCTCCTTGAAGTCATTGGACGATAGGGATGATCAAAAATGACATCACCTCTTTAATCGATGTCACTGATTTCGATGAAATCTTGCAAATTCATGGCCACATGTGATACATGAAAATGCCTAAACTTTTAGCTGGGTGTGGGTTTGAATCTTCTCTTCACCCATTCTGGGATCTGCATCCACACCCACACCCAAAATTACGACATCATTGAAGTATTTGATGAAATGTCCGATGACGAATATATTAGGTCTCGTATCTTATTTATAGTCGGCTTTTTAATCGGGATTAATATTGGTATTGCGGTAAGTATTTGGTAGTTGGTAAGTAAAATGAATCACAATTGTTTTTGGAAAAGATAATCTTTGTTTCACAGTACCCAAAATAATAACTATGCTTTTATGGAAAAAAAGCTTCTGTTAAAACATTTATATTTATACAAATATTGATTTCGTCGAATTGAAATAATTAGAATCGAATAAAACAGACTACTGATTAACATGCATATTAGTTGAGACACTTATACTGAATAATAAATACATAAAAGTAGATTTCTAAAATGACATTATCATATTGCACAGAGATAGAATTCCCTGTATCGAATAAAATTATTTCAAATTTTACAAAATAAAAGAGATATTTTTCGATACTATGAAAAGCTGAGATATAATGATTAACATCATATTGCAGAAAAGAGAAAAACAACAAAATACTATAGACATGTGATGAAGTATTGCAAATATTCAAATATGATGAAAGAAATATTCAACAATAAATCACCTCACAAAATTAATGGCAAAAATCATACAATAGACTGTCATGACTGGATAGAAAATCGTGCCATAATCATTGTTATAAATTCAAAAATAGGTAGTCTAGTAAGAATAATTCATTTAAAGAGATGAATTATTGTCTGTCCAAAAATCTAATAATCTTCGATATTTTTTGAAGAAATTTTGCTAAGAACAAATTAGCAATTTGCAATTTTTACTATTCAAAAGAGAGTGCTTAGCAAAACAAAAGCATGTCATATGATGGACATTTTCAAGAACAATATTTTGAACGTATTTTTCATTCGATTTGAGTTTTGATATGATTGTTCGATAGAAAATATTGTGATCTACGGAAATCTGACTTCTTTATCTGATTTTGACCAACTGACCTGAGAGATGGCTCTAACATAAGTCTGAATATGGGTAATTGCCCATACTGAATCTGGTGATGATGTTTGTTTGTTTTCGGTTTCAAATTGATCTGAAAGTACTATCAAGATTTTTCAAATTTTTCTGGCATTTAGCATAAACATCCGATATTTCCAAAATTTTAGTATAGTACTTTCAGATTGCTTTGAAACCAAAACATGCAAACATCACTAATAAATTCAGTCTGGTTAATTATCCCCCTTCAGATCTATTTTAGAGCAATCTCAGGTCATTTGGTCAAAATCAGGAATCTTAGAAAAAGTTGGATTTGCGTAGATAAACAGATTACAGTATTTTCTATTGACTGATCACGTCAAAGCTTGAAATCAAACGAAGAATACATTAAGAATATTATTCTTGAAAATGTCTATTAAGGTTTCACCTAATTGATAAATTACGGAACTAATGAAGTTAGACACTTTTTTTAACGCTACCAAGTATGTTTTTTCTTGAATGGAGAAAACTGCATGTTTCCATATTATTCTAAGCGAAATTTATTCAAAAACTACCGACAGTCATGATCACGATATGTTCCAACAAACGATAGCTCAAGATATACATGTAACTTGTTTGACGTGTAAGAAACTTGTTGAATAAATATTTTATCTAATCATCTATTTCTATAAAATATAAAACCAGTAGTCGTACAAAGTTTAGGTTCGATCGATGGATCTACGAAAAAAAAAAATAATTTT